CGTTAATTATTTCCCTCCATGAATGGCCTCCATGGCAAGCACTTCAAATGCCTATCCAAGCTAGTTATAATTAAAACAAAATTAAACCACTGCAATATTATTTCGAATACAGTTTAGAATATACACAACTATAAATTAAGGTCGCATTTAGGTTCGCTTTAATAAATTATTACAACAAGCAGAAATCAAAGAAATCTTAGAAAGAACTCGCGTGTGCTGAGAGTATTGAAGACACATTCAAAATTAATTCAAAATTACTTGTACATGAGATATTGATGGAAAAGCTGAAAACTAATTATGTAAATCAGGTAACTAATATGAACAGAACAGAACAAAAAAAATTATGAATTATTATGCTAATTAGAGAATTAATATGAACAAATTTTAACCCAAAATTAATCAGGCCTGTCTATTGTCCTAGAGCATTTATGTAACAAATTTTATTCAAATGTGATGATCAGTAATTGAGATATCAGTGTTAATTAATTATGTTAATTAGGTGATTAATAAGCATAAATATTTACCAAAAACTAATTGCATGGGTATTTTGAGTCAAAAGAAATGCTTGAGAAAACATAAATTTTCAGAATGCTGCAAACGACAGCAAAAGAATTATTGCTACGCTGCGTGCCATGCTTGTGAACCCAATAGTTTTGTCTATACCAAAAACATAATCACAGGTACGACACTAATCAGCGTCTGTTTTTTTTTTAATTATGTTGACTAAGATGATTTTACATAAATCAAAATTGCAAAGAAACTACTCAAATAAAGTTTGCAATGCCAGACCATGGGTGCAAATTAGCACCACTGCTAGATGTATCTATAATTTCTATATGCGAGTTGCATGTAGGACCCATTTCATTCAACCACAATGGTAAATTAAATGCAAAAGGCCCAATTCACTTGCCCCAGGCAAGTGTGAATTGGAGGTGTGACTATGCTAATGAGTGTTGTTAATCACTTGCATAGCCTATGATGCATCCCGTTTCAGTGGTCCAACATCAGGTGACTTTGATTGACAGTAGTTAATTATTCAAGATTAGTAGCGTGTCCCGGTTTGAGTTTTTGACTTTTATCCGCCAAAATCTCAGCTCGTACACTATTTATTGTCATAAATACTACACAGAGTCACTGCTGTGATATTCATAGTCGCATGCATCCACTTTGGCATGACATAATCGACCTGTAAGTTCGAGAAAACACGCTATTACCGGGGCTTGGCTGGAGCTGTTTACTACAGCGTGACAAGCAAGGAAATAATCCCTATTGTTTAGGACCGTATTTATAGTATACCTGGGCCTTTAAGATGTTGTATTACATTTCGACATGGTTTTCCATTTCTCAGAATTACAATTCAAATGAAGTAGGTACATAAAATAATAGGAATGAACCATTGTCACTGTTGTCGGGTATACAACAAGATGTTGCACAACTCATATATGCACAAGGCACAGGCGAGTACATACATAGAGTGAATATTGTGCAATATCTAGTGGTATATTTACATAGAACTGTGCTTTGTTCCATAATTGTTTCTTTAAAATGTCTGTGGTCAAGCATGGTGGTAAAAATAAATCCTGCAAGTATAATATAATGATAAAACGTACAAAATCCCTCTGGCTGGCATTTGATATGTTAGCATACAAGATGAGGCTGAAGTACAAGTAACCTTTAGAGAAAGTAACTTTGGTACAGCAAATACAGCAAATCTGTCAACAGTATTTCAAATGATAGACTACACATTGCATCAGTATTTTGTCACTAGAGGGTCCAACCACAGTTATATGAAAGGTTTGTTGATAAATGATCTATATGAGACAATGTTAATACGTAATGACATGTACTTACTCTTTCGGGTGGTTTCGCTAGTATAATCGGCGGCTTACTTGGTTGTACTGCTACACTGCTTTCTTTATCAGACTGAATAAATAATAATGTTAAAAATAGTATTGATGAACATCAACTGTTTATTTAAATTTATTTTGTATTTTTTGAATCTATGTAATCGAAGTGCTATTATGGAAGAGGAACTGAGATGTAATAATGCGCCAAAATGATGTTTATAGTATCAAAATAAAACATACGGGGTAGAATATTTAGAAGTTCATGTTATACAAAGGAAAATTAACTTTTGTTCAAAGAAGATTTCATTTTCTTGCTATTTGCATGTAATTATCATAAATATATACGATATAACACAACATATTGTCAAGTGTTCACTTATTTGGAAACAGACATCATTGTGTCTCAGTGTTAAATGCTTTGATTAAAAACATGATAAAACCTAATTTTTCATGCATGCATGGTTACAATTTGTGGACAATGCCAACATCTAACTTAAACGTCTCAATATGTCAGCTAAGCGGTAAATGAACCGTACAGTAGGAATAAGCCAACGAATTGCCTGTTTGTGGAAGACAGTGCCAACATTTAATTTAATGTGACTAACCAAATTTGAGTCAAACAGCTGTCATTTAGCCCTGTTATTCCCAGCAGTACAATTTTGATTGAAAACCAATTTTACCTGGGCTGATTATATGCATATTGGGTCACAACACCAATAACTTATTTGTTTGTGTTCATCTCAAAATACAACCCCAAAAAACAATAAAATGATACGTCACAGAATTGTATCATTTCAAGAAAATTATCAGGGCTTTCAAAAACACCTGTAGAATTTACAAGACAACTGTGAATGTTTTTTATATATAATATTTATAAATCTTTTATGAATTTCAAAAGACAGTTGAAAAGAACTTGCCAATTACAAAGTCTTAACAGATAAATATCACCTGTATAGAATCCCACAATAGTCACAACTGCCTTTGAACCATAACAATGATTTTCCTGCTCCTTCAAAATAAACATCTTTTACAATTTAAACGTTCTACTGCGATTAGTAAAGATGATACTACTTGTAATTAAAGATACATGTATTCAGAATTCATATCTGTAAATAACTAAGTTGAAGTGGTTTGAAAGAATTTGATGGGATCTATGTTCTGTGTAAATTACCCATGATTAGTTAGTGAAAACTTCGAAAACTTTAATTCAATCCAAGTCTTCCAAGATGCATATTTTATAAATTTCTATAAAAAAACATTCACAGCATTCAGAAAAATGTAGTAGCTTTCCTTTTATTTACCATTTCTTTTTCTCTGATGCCTCTATCTGCTGTTACTCTTTCTTTATCACTTTGCTTCTCTCTGTCTCCAATTCGATCTCTTTCTGAAGGGCGCTCTTTAACACTTCCAACAGCTATCCCACCACGACGTCTCCGTCTGCGCCCACCTGGACCCATGTCAGCCATACCACTAAGTTTATCAGGGGAATGAATCCACTATATAAGAACAAGATATGACTGTCACATTCCCCGTCATTTAATTATAAAATACTCATGTTAAAATAATACATGGAACATCTGCAAACAGTTGAATTAATATGTACCGTAAAATCTGTATTAGAAGCCGCATCCCTAATAGAAATCGCACCCTTCTTTTTGAATAATTGAGAACCAAAAATTCACCATTTCTCATATGTGTAGATGCTCTTAATAGAAGCCGCTGTTTCTAATACAGAATTTACAGTACTCTATGTGTGTACAACTCATCATCAAGTGATTTTCCTTAATCTAGTATTGTACTGATAACTGAAAACTCCATTAACCCATGTCCAAAATCTAAGAGTACACAAGTGCAACCAAACTATGTCTCAAACATGTGTACATGCTCAATAACCTGCATTCATAAATCTGAGTAAACCTTGATGTACCTTTAATAACAACATGACTTCTTTGTTAATTCAGGTCTTTGTATATTACCAGAACCTCGATTTGTTTCAGTATCACCACTATAATTCCCATCAAAATGTAGCCCTGACACCCCTCTACAGTTTCCACTGAGGTTCGTAATGGTACAACCCATTTATCCACTAGTCCTGACAACTGAGGCTATATTTAGACCACATGGGTCAATGTGCCTGGCCAAGATTTATAAACAGTAACTGCAGTGTTTTCACTGATCTTCAACTTTGTGACCCGGTATTTCAGTGATGGCTTTAATGGAATGCAATTTTTACAGTTTAAAGATATTATTATACAACATTTCTGACCACTTTTTACAAGATTTCAGTCTTAATTTTTCATAAAACCAAACAAAAACCAGACTATGGTTCATTTCTGTCAATGATTCAGATCAAGGTCATGACATCACTGAAAACCCTAGCACTACAAATTAAGCTAATTATTTATGCTGAGCATGCTCAGTTGTTCTCTCAGTGTTGTTGGGAGAGGTAATTTTGGATGAAAATTATGAAAAAGACCCACTTAGGATTTTCAGATCTTGGAAAAAAAATTATGTGCATATTCGACAGAGACTTGTTCATCAACCTGCCAAGTTTCATCAATATCTGCTGCAGAATTTCTGAGAAAATGTTAGAGATGTAAAGGAAACGTGACAGATGGAAACAGGAAATAAGAAACTATACTAAAAAACACAGTAGGTACCGGTAAACTAAAGGCGAGTGACTGATACAGTTGTCAAGCTGTAAATCTACTATGGATACACACAGTTTAGTCTAGTAATGATATCTTTGCTGCCTGGATTTTAACCATCAAAGTAATTTCCCATTCACCGCTAATTGCAGTTTATCAGAGAAGCCCCCCCCCCAAATGATTATGATTTTGTTTAATGTTTTTATTGGAAGAATACCTATTTAAAACATCAGTGGTAAAAAGGTAAGTTTTGCTTTTTGTTGCATATGACTTATTTACCACTTTCGTGTCACTGAGAATGTTCTAGAACCGTACTGTGTCTGGGTGGAATATTCTATATTTGTTAGGAAATAGGTAATAGAACACTGTAGGAGGCAATAGAAGGTAATGGAACATTCTAGAAATTTGTAGTAAGTTCCAGACTCATTATGTATGCTGATGTAATGGTCTATTTATAGACAGTGGGGGTATATATAGGGGAGTTGTTCAGCACTGAGTTCAGATCGGAGATCTCGTTGAATTGTATTGGAGTTTAAGTATCTAGTTATTGGAGTAGTGGAGTTTTACCGCGTTATTGTACTTGATGTTTACAGAGTATAATAATACCAGTACCAGTTGAAACCTCATCTGTTGGCTCCGTGTTCGTATTTTATCATCGCCGCCAGGGAAGTCTTTCTGTTACTGTTGCCATTTTGGTATTTGAACCATCACACCTGTACTATACCAATTACGGTAATATTACGTTGCGTGTGACATTTTTGAATTTGTGTAATCCGGAAATTCTGAAAACTATGTTGCAGAACTTTCAGTTACTTTCATGAACAGCTGAACACTAACCCCACATATAGTGGTGCATTGATTGGGACGAGATATTGACAATGTCACAGGGCTAGTGCAGCCAAAACAGATACAGCACCCCAAAAAACTACATGTTTACATCCTTAATAAACTGTGACTGATCTTTATATACATGTATACTGCAAATAACGTGCTTGATGTGGAAATTCTTGTCAAATACAAAAATAAACAACGAGGAATTTAACCAGAAATGTGGAATATTAGTATCATATCTCACATTTTTAATAAAGGTGGCAGATCACATCCAATTATTATTAGCACATACATATACATATACTAGTATATTATAATACACAATGATGTAAACGCTACAACACACAAATTTCACCAATATTTGAGATCACAAAAGGAGTCAAACAAAGATGTGTCATTAGTTCTATTTCATTTAATCTATATATATAATGTATGTATATGTATAATGTATATATAAATTAAATACCAAAATTGTCATCTAACTGTAAGGCCATTGCTGATTGGCTGTTGAGCTGGAATAATAATTTTTGGTTTCAAATACCCCAGGAAAGTGTTCTATGTTCTTCGTGTAATTAGGTGTTCGTATTTAAGGGATTTTTCCACACAAAAACGACTAATTCGGCCGAATTTTGTTATCGGTTGGCATAATATTACCCCAACGGATCTTATTTCTGTGAAAGATTGGCATTTTTGTCCTGATTTGAAGGAATCCGAAAAACGTGTTTCACAACTTTTCTCTTATTTAGTTTTATGTCGCATTCAAGATGGTGTCCCCCATATACTAAATATCACATTTATTTTTTTATCACGCGTGCGCCATCTGACTGTGGTGTAAGCTACCTATGAGGTATTCAAACTGAAGCAAATTATTGTATTATTATTTATGTAACTACCCCAGACCATTCGTCCCGGTGTTATCGCTATCGCCACACGAGACTCCAGCTTGTCTCCTATACAATTTTCCTTCCGCCCACTTAATTTTACTATTCATATGACCTTTGCACTGACATCGATAGCCAATCGCATTCGACCGCGGACGTCACTCTAAATAAACAACTGAATAAATTAATATACCATATTTGGAA